GGGAGACATGCAGACATGACCGAGACACTCTCAGTCAATAACCATCAGCGGGATCTGGATACCCATGATGGCTCCCACATGCTCCTCGATGTTGTCATCGGATGAACCACTATGTCGAGGATTCGATCAAACCCTGTATGCAATTCCCTTTGTCAATCGGTACGTTACTTGCCCGAGACTCGATCGTCGGTATCCCAATACCTTGTTCAGTCTCGTTACCGGCAAGTCACTTTACTCGTACCATAATGCATGATCCCGTGTCCAACACCTTGGTCACATTGAGCTCAATATGATGATGCATTACCGAGTGGGCCCAGAGATACCTCTCCGTCATACGGAGTGACAAATCCCAGTCTCGATCCGTGTCAACCCAACAGCTACTTTCGGAGATACCTGTAATGCACCTTTATAGTCACCCAGTTACGTTGTGACGTTTGATACACCCAAGGCACTCTTACGGTATCCGGAAGTTACACGATCTCATGGTCGAAGGAAGAGATACTTGACACTTGCAAAGCTCTAGCAAAACGAACTACACGATCTTTTATGCTATGCTTAGGATTGGTTCTTGTCCATCACATCATTCTCCTAATGATGTGATCCCGTTATCAACGACATCCAATGTCCATAGTCAGGAAACCATGACTATCTGTTGATCACAATGAGCTGGTCAACTAGAGGCTTACCAGGGACATAGTGTGGTCTAAGTATTCACACGTGCATTACGATTTCCGGATAATACAGTTATAGCATGAATAAAAGACAATTATCATGAACAATGAAATATAATAATACTTTTATTATTGCCTCTAGGGCATATTTCCAACACTAGGGTGGGTCTGGTCCTGCACTGCTCGGGAGATGACCGCCGCCGTGGGCGTGAACTGGTGCGCCACTCCGCCGCGGTCACCGGAGCGGGAGACGTCGCCACGGGAGGAGATGGTGCAGGCACCTCCCGCCGTCTAGCCCACCCGCATCTACCACGCACCGCCGGCCCACCTCTGGACGCCGCTGGCCTACGTCGACCTCGTCAGTGACGACGACGACGCCGGCGGCCACTGAAGACGGGGACGACATCGACGGGCACAGGCAGGAGCGCGCTGGCGGCAGCCGTTTTTTATTTTATTTTTTATGTTTAATTATGTCAAGTTGGACGTGAAACTGGACCGTTTTATGGCCATGGACCCTAACTTAAGTTTTAAGTTTTTTAAACTGCGTTTATTTACTTTTTTAAGTCAATTTATTTAAGTTTTTATGTTTTTTTAAACACATCCGACACGGACAAGATTTGGGGTGCGCCGCGCTGGGCGCACCCACGACCCATCGGACAGACACGGACATGGGCGAGCCCATTGTCGCTCCAAAGGGACAAAATCCGGCCAAACCGGACGTTCGTTTGGGGTCGTGCGGCGGAGTTGGCCTAACGTCGTCATCTTCCGAATCCGCATCTTGGTGGTACTCCACCTCGACAAACCTGAGCATGTCGCCGACGCATATCACGTCCCTGAACGGCCTGGAAGACGATGTTCCGACGTGGCGCGAGTTTCCCGGCGTCGGGCGGGGAAAGCTCAGCTAGCGGACCACCGGATCCTCATCGAGCACATTGCAGAGGAGGATGCCGCGCCAGAGGTCGACCCACCCCAGCGAATCCACTCCGACGGTGATCACCTTTGTGGTCTGGTGGTTAGGACGTGCCTCAGGTCATCGTCCCCGGTAGCACCGTCCAGTGGGATCATCTTGCTGCTCCATGCCTTGGTCGTGGACGAGCAGAGGAAGAGCTCGTAAGCAAGACGGCCGACTTTGAGGTTACGTGCCAGTGCCGCCACGACGTATCCGTCGCCATGGCTGAGGATGCCGACCTCGTTGGTTGAATGGAATCTGACAGGTCGGTGCGGGAGCACCTCGAGTGACGGGCTCCCGTGGCCGGCCTTGTAGACGAGATAACGCAGCCCGTTGAACATCGCCACGGTGATGTGTAGCAGAACGGCGTCGCCGTCGGTGGTGACGACGGTAGCGCCGTAGGACAGGCCGTTGTCCCCGACGTGGACGATGAAGCCGGAGACCTGTGGGGGGCTGACGAAGAAGAAGGAAACCTCCACCTCCACCTCCACCCCCTCGTCTTGGACCTCCATGAACGTTCTTGCCGTGGTCGCCAGGGCAGCGGAGCACTCAGCGTTTGATATCTTCTCCCAGTCGTGGTTGGCCCCGCGCACTACGGTGTCGAGGAGGACCCAGTCGGGAAAGCTGGGGGCGTGGCCCGGCGCCGGCGGCCGCCGGGCAAAGAGGGGACGAAGCATGTCGTTGGTCGACGGGGGCAGAGCACGGGCTTGATTTGTGGGTTAGGGTTGTGATTTATTCGATTCGGTCGGCTGGCTTGGGTCTAGGACGTAACGTATGAGAGAGGTGTTTACTTGTGTACTGCTTCTTCCGTTCCAAATTACTTGTCGCAAAAATGAATGTATCTAGATGTATTTTAGTTCTAGATATATTTATTTCTGCGACGAATAATTTAAAACGAAGGGAGTACGAGTCTGCGACGGGCTCTCCCCTCCGCGGCAGGCAGACGGTCGACTTCTAGCCGACTTAGCTTCATCATCGAGCTGTCCGTATAGTTTTCTGTTACGTCATCGTCTGAGACCTCGTTGGTTTCCTCTTGGAGACTTGGAGTGGCTTTAATTTCCTTGTTTGCGGAGATGATCTGACCATGGGATCGACTTTCTTGGTTCATACGTACTTCCTCTGTTCGTGAATAAGTGTATTTCTAACTTTTGTAGTTAAAGTTTTAAAATTTTGGTCAACTTCATAGAGAAAAGTAACATCATTTATGACACTAAATTAATATCCCCTTCGGTCCTTTTTTTTACTCTGCATATAAGAATTGTCTGAAGTCAAACTTCATCAAGTTTGACCATATTTATATGAAAAAAATTCAACATCTGTCATGCTAAAGTTATACAATATGAAAATTTAAGTCATGACGCATCTACTGACATTAATTTTATAGTGTGAATGTTGATATTTTTTCTATAAAGTTCAAATTTTACGAGACTTGACTTCAGACAAATCTTATATGCGAACTAAAAATGACCGGAGGGAGTATCACTAGATCCGTTTTGAAATATACTTTCGTAATATATCGATTTGATGTCATATATATTGCTACTCTTTTGTATATAGTTAGTCAAAATTTTAAAACTTTCACTTAGGACGAAAACTAGAAATACACTTATTCGCGGACGGAGGGAGTACCTGCTACAAGTACATGGTTCCAGTCAAAACGGTTATATAAAACGCTTAGTAAAAGTGCATTTAGACAAAGTACAAGACTTTTCTCTTTGGAACGCACATGAATTCTAAAAATCCTGAAAGAGCCATATGAATGCCCCCATCTGAATAAATGTTCCATTGACATTTATGAAGCTGTTTTCTTGGTATTCCAAGTATTAAAATAGTATGATCTTCCTAAGATGACAACTTGCATGAGCATTTCATTGGGCAAATTGTTAATAGATTGGCAAAAATCGAAGCTTAAAAAAAATACTGCGCATCCAGGGAATCGAACCCTGGTCAGTACCGTGGGAGGGTACTATGATACCACTACACCAGATGCGCTACCATGCCAAGTTTCTTCCTATGGTTCTATAATAGAAGGTGACATATCGCACTACCACAAGGATAAACTAAGATAGTGTTCTCTACACGGCAAGAAGCTGCAGAGTAAATTGTTTCAGTCTGGGAACAAATACGGTTCTTATATAGACAATGCTCGCATTGATAGAAAATTGTTCATATCCGGGAAAATATCTTGTTCTTATGTTGACAATGCTCGCAGTGTGTATGAAATGGATGTCCGGGAGCAAAAACGAGGTGTGCGTGTGCATGGTTCTTGCAATAGCCTCCCGTTCATGCACCCTGCACGTACATAAAATGCAACACGTAATAGAAAACCACTTCATAAATGTCAATGGAACATTACAATTTCGCTGGAAATTCACAGAACGTACATGACAGGTTGACATTTACAAAACACAACAGCATATACACCGAGCGAGTGAATTTCAGTTGTTGGCTATTCTACTGTAAGGACAAGGAGAGTAGGGTCGCGCAAAAAATCCCTGTCCTATGCCCGAAAAACAACAAAAGAATCCTGTATAGTCAACGACAGTTAATGTCTTTCGAGCATTGCTATATGACACTGATGACTCTGAGCACAGATGCCGTTTTCGCTGCCAATGGCGCCCACCTCACGCATCATCATGCCTCCACATTTTGATCACCCAGAAGCTGAACAAAAGGCAACTGAATTAGTAGGTAACATTTGTCAAGCCCTACAACAAAACTGATTGCTTCTGACTAATCTTTGTAAAATTAGTCAACATCGAACTGAACCTAGCTCCTACCCCCTCCGTCCCAAAATAAGTGTACTAGAGTACAACCAAGCGGGTTTTCAAAAACAAGGTTACAAATATGTATGTGGAGGCCAATAAGACTAACTCTAAATTCTGAAAGGGCAGCAGCACCCTAATACTATAGCAAAAGAATCATGTTAAAGTGCTATCGCCAATAGGCTGTTTGAATATCAGGCGAGTATGCTTGGGTAAAACATCTAAATAATGCTGCCTACTTTTTCCTGCATGCATCCTGTTTTGTGCTTGTTGGCATCAAATTGAACATGATTATATTTTGATGACATTAGTAACTGCTAAACTACACTGCTGCGTTTTGTCCTGTTCAGCAAATACTCCCTCCGTTCCTAAATATAAACCATTTTAGAGATTCCAATATAGACCATATATGGAGGAAAATGAGTAACTCTACACTCTAAAATGCGTCTACATACATCCGTATGTAGTCCGTATTGAAATCTCTAAAAGGTCTTATATTTAGAAACAGAGGGGGTACAAAGTAACTTTCAGTAAAGAAAACATAATGGTGATCGTTTTATGGACCGTTGCGAACCTAAAGTAATGTTGCTGCCCGATGTGCTCCTAGACCACCACCTATGCTTCAGTTATGACATCAGCTGAAATAAGAAAGTGAGTCAGATTTGTATAGAATCGCTGAGATAGTAGCAGAACACCATAACATAATAAGCAGGCATTAAAAAATCCATTTCCTTGACAAAAGAAGGAAATGACATGGTATAAACTTCGCAAAATCCTACTAATCTGAACTCCACTTGGGCACCTGAAGTGCATAGCGTGTCATTGGACATACAAAATTAGCAGCTACACAGAATACAGTCTCTGCATGCTTTGCAGAAAAAGAAGAACAGAAACATTCGGCATACAACAAACTAGGGAATACCATGTTGAGGGTTATTGTAGTTATGCTGTGCTTCCATCTGACAGTCCTGCTCTGACTGTGGAGACTCATCATAATCTTGAATAGTTAAAGTAGGTTCCCCGTCTTCGCCAAACCACAGATGCATGTCATCAAAGTCTGGTAGAGCAGGCATGTCAGCAAAAATGTCCCCTGATGAACCTTGTGTGTTGAGGTTGTCCGACGTCGTTTGAGTGTCAATGTCCATGGGCATGTTAAGTGCGGGACTTGAGATTGGTTGTGTGGTGGCCGACAAAAATGCTTCATCTGGTATTACTTGGCTAGAAGTTTCAGGGGCAGGAGGCCGATACTGAATAATTTCGGTCCCTGCGCCAGAAGTCTCGTAATCAGTTACTGGACCCTGCTCTAGAGCAGGGAACCTCCTTTTCTTGTTTCCATCCTCATACCAGTTGGTCCTGCGCTGCTGCTGCTGCTGCTGCTGCACAAGCTGGTTGAGAAGACTAGGGTTCTGGACAACGATTGATAGAAGTGCCATCATCTGCTTCTGGTTCTGTTCCATTACTTGAAGGCGTTGAATCAAACTCTGGACTTCAAGGTTAGAGCTTTGCTGGTAGTGCCTGAGATCCACAAGCTGCTGCATGAGAAGAGATTTATCCCTCTTAAGGGTTTCCACCTCCTTTACAAGCCCGCCATATCTTCCTATTTCAATATTTTCAGTACCAGGTGCAGCTTTGACAGGTGCCTTCTCTAACTCACGACCTGCTTCCTGAGGTCTCTTCTTTCTCTTAATGATTTTCAGAAGATGCTTTTGGCCCCTAAGAAACCCTTCATTGGCCCACTCCCATCTATCAGGGTCAACTTTACGAAATCCCTAGATAAGAAGAAGCATGGATAAGTTCACCAAAGAAGAAATCTTAGAATGCAAGGTTTTCTTTAGAGTAAATAACAGATCATGTGATGCTTCCACTGATTTCATTGCAGTGTTGAAAGTTACATGCTTCATGAGGAAGTTTTACCAAAAGTATATGGAGCCAAGAGCAGCAATTCATGTGGTCACAACAAAATCTTTAAGAGCATGTATACAATCCAGTGAGAAAAAATCAGTCTGCTCTTGTATTCAGCAAATGGACATGAAAGAAACAGTATAAAAATTGGAAGGAAAAGCTGACAAGAATAGAATCCCAGACTGCAAGAATCTGGCTCGAGCCACTGGATACTGCTAGACACTCATCAAAAGCACAACATCATTCATCAAATACCTTTGGGTAGGTAAAACAAAGTTCCAACCAGCATAAAAGAAATGCTAACGCAGAAGATTAACTGTCAGTCATGATATTATGTCAATGCAGACGAAGCATTTATTTGATTTCATTCAGAAACACCACAGTCAGGATACTATTTAAGTTAAGCATGAAGCTAAGACACTACATTTAGTAGCTTCATTCTCTTGTACTCCTAACATAAATAAACTTCAGTAGATGCCAAATATGCAGAATCCAAAATATAGAAAGGAGTTTCCATAGCATGCATTCTATGCCAATAGAACTCAAGGCAGGTTCAGCAGAACTGCTACGAGCGTTAGTTATTTTGATCAGATCCACAAATTTCCATTGGTCATACGCACAGTTGTAGTATTTCATATATATAAGGAAGACTGCTAAAAGCATTTTTACTACTTGGATGCCAAAGCATGTACAGATTTGGAACAAATGCTTTAGCCCGGAATGGTAAGCCCCCATATTACTCCAATCGAAATAGTATTGTCACAAGTTCTCAGCACAACAAGCACAAAATTGAACAGAGCAACAGCGTGTTACAAACTGGCATCGAGAGAAAATGATCAGGCATTCAAACAGGTTTGTGTAAGTTGCATCGAAAGCTACTCCAGACAGTCAACTGTTGACCAAATTCTCACCTAGCCGCAATTGCATATTATGAATTTATTTATAATAAAACATGCTCTGCGATAGCAGTTGCATCCAATTGCACTCGGAATCAGGCAGAAAGGACAAAAAAGAAATCCGCGCATCGGAAACAAGCGGGGAGGCATAGGGGGTCTCACATAGGTGTTGAGCTGGCGTATGAAGCTGCTGAAGTTGCGGTGCTTGAAGTGGCGGCTGAGCAGGTCGCGCTCGAAGGCGTGCGCGTCCCAGATCACGAAGCTGTTGCCGGCGTCCGTCCACGACATGACCTTGTCGGTCGCCGCGTCCGAGACCATGTCGTAGACCTTGGTGAGGAACGGCGCCACCTCCGGCGGCCTCGGCGCCGGCCCCACCGGCGCGGGGGCATTCCCGGCCGACGAGGGCCCCGCGGCGGAGGGCGGGGGCGAGCCTTTGCTGGAGCCCATGGCGGTGCGGCGGGCGGAAACCCTAGCCTCGTTCGGGATTGATGAGGGCGGCGAGGAGAGGGAGGAGGAGGAAGGCGTACCGGCGTGGGGATTTCGGTTTGGGTTTGGGGGGGTCTGCGACCTGTTCGTGTTTGGGCTGCCTGCCTTCAGGATTAAGAAAGAAATCTATGGGAAGTTCAAAAGAAGAAGAAGAAAAAATGTGGTAGAGTCGGCGATATTTGTGCGTGCGTCAGATCACGCAAGGCGCGTGCCCGGAAAATTGCTTTGGAATAAGGCACGCCTTCGTTTTACAGCTGCGCTCCCGTGTTTTTATTCGACGATGACTTGTGGGCCTGAGGGCGTCCGGGCCCACGTGTCGGTGTGTGAGGGTCACGCATGAGGCAATGATTATTTGCTGTGCGGCGAGCGTTTTCCACATTTTGCGTTTTTTTCTGTGGGGCGCAGGAGCCGGCGTGGTTGCGTCGGGTCCCGCTCGATGGCATGGGCGGGGCCGGTGGGCGCTGCATTAGAAGACCCTCGCAAAGAAAAAGACGAAGGAGGAATGAAAAAGACGAAGGAGGAATCCACACGGAGAGACTGATATGTGGCCCAGGAACGATGGGCCGGATGACAGGTGCGAGTGTCGCGGTCATGCAGGGGCAAGTCATCGACGTCATTGCTGTCGTTGGACTTGGACTGGAATTACACTTGTCAATTTCCACACGCACGGACCAGCTTGCTCTCCTCTCTCCTCCTCTCGTCACGAGAATCCAGTCCAGTCCAGTCCAATTCCACATTAGAGGGGCCTGTCGGACATAGAGACTTGGACCGAGAGAATAATTTTTTGCTGGTTTGAACAAGCTGTACGGCCGAATATTTCTTTCTCAAGTTACGAAATTTGCAACAAATCTCTCGCAAAAAATAACTATCCTATCCCTTTCTACAATCTCTCCGGGTCCTTGTTACATAAGGTAAGTACTAGTAAAAAGGTCTGTGTGTTGCAACGATGGAAAAGAATACCACATGCTCTTAATTTATAAAAAGTGTCTATAATCAGAGTATTTGTAGCTACGGCCCAAACAAAGATGATCTTTGCCTATAAAAGCGCAAGTTCAAGATTTCACATGTCTTCTTGTTAAACACGCCTTGCATGTAGACTTAATATGTACAAAGAAACGGGCCAGGGATCTTCAGTTTCGTTTCTAATTCTGATTTTGCTGAGATGTTCATAGGGAAAGTATCCAGTGCTCCCAGCCTTGGGGTACTCCCGGTGCTCCAATGTCAAAAAACATTTTTAAATATTTCAAAAAATTCAGAAAAAAGAATGTTCACAACGATTGTCACTACATCCCCTAAAAAATCCAGGTTCAAAATCGAAATGAACATTGAAAAACAAAAAGGAAATCCATATCTGAATAGTGTCAATGTTGTTTTTGTCTCTTCTTTACACTATTCATGCTAGATTTCACATTTTTGTTTCTCAATATGTGTTTCGAGTTTGGATCTGAAATTTTTAGGGTTGTAGTCACATCCATGGTGAACATTCACAATCTTTTCGGAATTTTTTGAAACATTAAGGAAAATGTTTTTTGACATTGTAGTACCGGGAGTACCCAAAGCTGGAAGCATCGGATACTTTCCCGATATTCATACACAATCTGGATCAGTACCGATATGAAAGAAAGACGAATAATGCATCATTGATTAAGATTGCACCATATATAGTATTTTTAAAATGGTTAACAGGTAAATTAACATCATATCATATTCTATATTTTTTTAATCAAGTTATATATATAACATGTTAAATTTGGAGTTACGGTTTTGAAGATATGAGTATTTAAAAACATTTGATATTAATGCGGGTTTAATGTTAGAAACCTCAAGGGTTTTCTATAAAATAGCATGATGGACTAGGAATACATATTTATTTTATTAGTAGATATAGATTATACAATAGTTAACTACGAGAAAACAAATTATAAGCCCCATAACGACGGCCAACCCATGCACCTGCCTCAGGGCAGCCTCTAGTGGGCTAGCTTAGGTGTCTGCCGCATGCTTTATTCGATGATTTACTTTTTTGTTTCTCTAATTTTCTTAATATTTTTGAAATACTCATAATACATATCTTTCACCGTTTTATTTACTTCAAGATTTTCAAACCATTCATCGCATGTTTAAAATCTATCCATGCAGTGCAAAAAGAATGTTCACGCGACTTTAAAAAATTGCTTGCATTAATTATTTTGACATTTTAAAAATATTCACTTGCTTCAATAAAACATTTACAAATGTATCGTGCTATTGAAAAAAGTGATTTGTAGCATTCAAAAATAGTTTCATGAATTCAAAATTAGGTCCATCACATTTTTTTAAACATTTAAACAAGGTAAGAAATGCAGAAGTTTTTAAAAATGTTTCAAATCATTAAAATAAGGTTGCATTTAAAAATATGACACTCATGAAGTCGTACGAAGTCAGGAACTCTCGTGAAGTCGAAGCTATACTGCCCCAGCGCACACTCTTGCCGGCCCAATTAGAGCGTTTGGCTTGGGACCTCCTATGTGAGGTATTAAGCGTCAAATTTTTTTAGGGGTATAGCTAAGCTTTATTGACCATAGTCCACATGAAGTGGTATACAACAAGGATCACGGGGAAGGATGAACCAAAGATATCGCGCCTGATCAAGAGTGTTTTAATAGCTAAGTTTATTAAGCGTCAAGAAATACTAAAATGTTCATCAAATTTTAAAAATTTGATTATTGTTTTAAATTTAAAATTCAACTATGTCTTCTGAAATTGCGTACATTTTTCGGAAAATGTGAATACCTTTTCTGAACCAGCGAACATTTTTAGAAATTTTGGGAGAATTTTAATATTTAGGAATATTTTTAGTTTTTGACGAATCTTTCTAGAGTTCATGAAATTACTCAAATATTTTTTGCCTCCACAAACTTTTTTAGAAATCACGAACATTTTTTAAATTCATGAAATTACTCAAATATTTTTTGCCTCCACGAAATTTTTCAAAATTCGCATTTTTAGAATTTTGGTAATTTTTCAAAATACGAATTATTTAAAGAAAATAGGGGGTGCGCTGCGCTGCTAAATGGGCCGGCACAAATGGGCGTGGGGGGCGAGCCAGGGTGTGCGCACGCAGTGCCTTCCCGGCGCATAATGCGTCAAATAGGAGCTCCCACGTCAAAGGGGTACAGAGAGCGTCCTGAATCGGCCGGCCCAGGTAAGAGGATGCCGATTGTGCGATCCAGTCTTGTTCAGCGTATTTCGTGGGAGCTCCTATTTGACGCTTCAGGCGCCAGTTAAGCTCCCTGGCGGCCACGTGCCAACGGTTGTCGGCCACCCCATGTGATTCAAGTGCATTTTATTTTCCCCTGGTTCGCTCGGTCGCATTTGAAAAAAACCGAGAAAATTCGCACAAAGGGAAAAATATTTAAATTTCATAAATCTTCATGGATTTAGAAAAAAAAATCATGAAATTTACAAAATCATTAATTTGAAAAAGTGCATCGAACTTGAAAAATACTTCATCAATTTGAAAAAAAATTGTAGAATTTGAAAAAGTTCATCGATTTTTAAAAAAAATCATTGATTTGAAAAAAGATTCATGTTTTTTTAAATAACCACACATTAAAGAAAAAAGGAAATAACAAGAACAAGAATTTAAATAAGAGAAAAAAGAAAAAGTACAAACCAAACTGAACCACGAAAGAACACAAAGTAAATGTGCACAAGCGCGTGAGGTGGCCTGGTGGTTGGTGCGCTTCCTTTGGAAAGATGAGACCACGAGTTCGATCTCCTGGGCAACACCTTTTTCTGAAATAAAGTGAAGGAACGGAAAAAAAGAAGGAAAATGGACCGGACTAGAGCCAAGCGGGGTGTGAAGCGCCGAATAGGAAATGTCGTGTTTGGTTGTCCGCATACATCTCAATCAGGCCCCCACGAGAAGAGTTTGACCCGTTTGGTTGCGTGCATAGCATGAACTTTAAAGCTCCTTTGGGCTTGGTACCGAGGGAACGCTCGATTTGGCAGTTTTTCATAAGACACGCCCGATCGATGCAATCTAGGCACCTAGGTGACTTTCCTGGTGCAGTTACCTACGAGCTCCTCTAGGTTGGGTACATCCTATACATGAGTTCGCACTGTTCGAGTGTAATCACTCCTTAATCGTTTTGACCTTCTAATCTACATAAGATGTTGTGATTCGAGATAAGGTCTACACGAAGAAGATGCGCATTGATGTTATGTTTCATTCAGACGATCGGTTCGCAGTTTTAACCGTAAATGTTCGATTTTGTGTTCCTATTGGAACTATTTTTTATTAACTTCATCAAATTCGTCGCGCACGGTCGACCCTTTCAATTTTTCTCTAACGAGTAGCTTCATCTCGACGTTTCACACAACTTTCGTGTTGTATTTTCTCTGTTTTGATGATTGTAGACAAGTAGATCTACATCTTTACGGTATGTAGGAATGCATATGTGTGGCAGTTTGAACGGGACTTGTTAATCTCTTTCAGTCTCTTCTAATCTATACAAGATGATCCGATTCGAGATAAGGTCTATATGAAAAAGATGCACATCGATGCCATGGTCCCATTCAGACGATCGGTTAGTAATTTCACTAATTGTAAATGGTTAATTTCGTGTGCATGTTTGGAGATATTTTGCTCAAATTTCGTCAAATCCATCACACACGTCAACCGTTTGAAATTCCCTTTTACCAGTAGCTTCGTCTCAATTCATGTTGTACATTTTTCATTTCAATAATTGTAGACTTGTATATGTGCACCTTCCTATTATATTGTACTAATGTTTAGATGAAATTTGGAGTGGCTTCTTTGTGTTCTCACTGTTCATCATCAACCTTGCAAGCTGGACGGCATGTGTGCCCGCCACCGCCGCCAAGCGTCGTCCCCCTCGACCTTCTCGTCTACGGCCTATTGACTCCGCCATCGCGACTACACTACCAAGAAACTCTACTTCAGCTTTGCTATCACG